TTCTTCATGCTCTTACTAACTGTAGTACGCACTTTCAGTTTCGTCTTTGTTTCGAAAAGTTTTTTTTCCGGAAAATTCTCCTGATAGCGCGATTCAAAAATTTTTTTTGTCAAAGTTGGGCCTTGTTTCTCAATTCATACATTCATGTTCGTATTCATTTGAATCAGTTTTCTATGCTCTTTCTGATTATGATACGCGCTTCTCGGTTTGATGATGTTCTGAAAAGTTTTTATTCGCAATCTTTCTTTTCGTTCAGGCGACCAAACTTTTTTTTTTCCTACTGCGTGCTTCTTTCTCAATTACCANAGTTTTCTATGCTCTTTCTGATTATGATACGCGCTTCTCGGTTTGATGATGTTCTGAAAAGTTTTTTTTCGCAATCTTTCTTTTCGTTCAGGCGACCAAATTTTTTTTTTTCCTACTGCGTGCTTCTTTCTCAATTACCACGTTCATGTTTGTATTCATTCTATTCAGTTTTTCATGCTCTTTGTAATTATCCTATGCGTTTTGAAATTTTGCGTTCGTTAGTTAAGCAATGCTCCTCTGACTGATGGCTCTGTATCCTGACTTCGGTCGGTCGAAGACTTTTTTTTGTTAAAGTTGTGCTTTGTTTTCCAATTATCACTTTCATGTTTGTACTTATTTGAATCAGCTCTTCGTTCTCTATCCTTATATGGTACGCGCTTTCAGTTTCCTTTTTGTTTCGAAAAGTTTTTTTTTTCCGGAATCTTCTCCTGGTAGCGCCACCAAAAACTTTTTTTTGCTAATGTTGAGCTTCGCTTTCCAGTCAATGCATTCATGTTTGTACTCGTTTGAATCAGCTCCTCGTTCTCTATCCTTATATGGTATGCGCTTTGAGTTTCCTTTTTGTTCCAAAAAGTTTTTCCTTTGTTCTGGAACCATTCAAGATAGAAATTGGTCAAACTGGAGATGAAGAGGGGATAGTTATCAGTGAAAGGTAAGTTCATCTCTTGTTTCTCCTTATATGGTTTGATATGTTGTGTATGTGTTGTTCTGAATCATTTCGTTGTGAATAAATATTTGAAATCTGAATGTCTTTGTGTTTGATATTGCAAAGAGGGTGGGGAAGCAATGAGGACGCGGGCTGATCCGAGTAGAACATGGCGGACTGAGATCTTGTTTATCTCATCAATAAATGATTGTCCATATATGGCATTGTTTGTGAGTAAAGTGTGGCAGGATAGCCGAGTGGTATACATGGGAATCTCACAGGAACATGGT